CTTCTAGCCTCATCAAGCACTGAATTTTTCGCGCTGAAATGTAGAGGGGCCAAACTCTAGGTTAAAAAAATAATAATAATAAAAATAAAAATAAGAAAGAGAAAAAGTTGCAAAAGCAAATAAAATTAAATTAAATTAAAAATAATAATAAATAAATAAATAAAGTTAGCACTTCTCCCAAAAGGTGAAAAGTGGGAAATGATTAGATAGAGGTTGTTTTGATTTGTAGCCTAATTGATTTGAGCTTGTAAATCCTTAAGCGTGTTTAAACACCTAATGCCCTGATGTGATCATTTCTTTGGTTGGCTTAGATAGAAATATATTTGATACCGATTCACTTAAAAAGGATTCTAGAGTTGTTTTGATTTGCATGATCATTGCCTTGATGTGTGGAGGACCATACTTGCTTGCTTGGTGTTGAGATTTTGGGAGATTGCTTAGAAATGGTTGAAAAATTACATACTTGAGGTAGTTCTCTCCCAACGCTTGTTTTGTATATTGGTACCCCTTTACTGAGAAAGAGCTCAATGTTTATATGGGTATTATTTCTGAAAACCCTCACGAGACTTCACTCGTCCACTAGGGATAACCTGGGGGTTCAAAAGGCTTGTTGCATATGCTAAATGCAATCATGTTCCTTACGAAAGTGGCGTTATCCTTTTATTGATTTCTAGTTCATAGTTTCTTAGTTGTTTATTTCTTTCCTTTCCTTGTAGTTCATTGCTAGGGACTAGCAATATCTAAGTTTGGGGGTGTGATAAGTGTTCAAATGTAACGCATTTTAGCACCTAAGTTAGGGTATTTTAGTCCATTCATCTATCGTACATTCATGTCTTAATACTTATTTGTGTTTTTGCCTATTTTATGTCAATAAAGTTCAAATAGGCTAATAAGAACCATTTAACTCAATTTTGGAGCTAAGGAACAAAGTTGGAAAGAAGTCAAGAAAATTGCACCAAAAGAACTTCGATCGATCAAAGGAAATCCCAATCGATCGAAGATGGCTACAATCGATCGAAATGTGGCGATGCCAGCTCAGCAAAGTGGATAAGGCCAAGAAGATATTTTTTATGACACATCAACTTCGATCGATCGGAGCTAAGTGTTTGATCGATTGAAAATCTTCAATCGATCGAACTGACTACTGGCAGTGTTCTGTCTAATTCCCGAACGCGTTGGACTCTACCTAACTTGTGTAGCTGCGAATTTCCTCCAATCATAGGTTATAAATCTGACTTGGTGCCTACTCAAAGAGGCTTGTAATAGATTAATTAAACCATATTGTAAAAGATATCATCTAGTTTTTCTTACTAATTATAGAAATAGTTTTCCTCTAGAACTAGGGTTTTGGAAAGAAAAAAAGGATAAAGATGATGATACCAACCTCCAAGCTAGCCCTTGAGGGTTCCATAACCACTACAATGAGTGGCTAAATCCTTCTCTTGGGGCTAGAGATAGCCCCTAGGTTTGCTTCCTAAACCTAGCTTTTGTACATTTTTTGGAATTTTAGTTGTAATTGATGTTTTGATAATGAATAAATAAAGATCTTGTAATTTTTACATGATTTGTATGGATTAATGCTTTTAATTGATCATTTAATTCTATCTATATGTCTATGTATGCTAGAATGAACATTTATGTGTTTTTCTCTAGATTTAATGAAATTAATGCATATCTATGTGTGTTGATGTTGTTAATCTAGTGATGGTCAAAGCATTGTACTTAATTGACTACTCTTGTGATTTATTTGATGGTTCATACTTATTTCTTGATGGATTGTACCACATCCATAGTTTAATTAGCTTAATTTTCATGTCATTAGCTTAGTTGTAGTGTAATTGCTTTAATTTCTTAGGTAGGTGGACAATCCATTCTTATTGTTTGATGTTCCACACTTATGAATGCAAGAAATACATTTCTCTATATTTTTGTGTGTGCACTAATTGTGGTTTAATTGAATGGTTAATGGTCTAATTTGATAGTTTGTGCTACTTACTAGATTGATTAGATAATTTATACTTATTTATCATCCGTGCTTAGTTTTAAATTGGTGACACACACACTCACAAGTTACAACTTGAATTTCCCCATTAATTTACAATTGCTAGTGTTTGGTGAAGTAAAGCTTAGTGGTGAACTCTAAGCCCCAAGACCTTTCTCTCATATATCTTTTTATAATTTCTAGATTGTTACTTATTTGCTGATAAGTGCTTAAATATTAAACATTTCAGCATCTAAGTTAGGGTATTTTAGTCCTTACATCTATCTTACTTTCATGTTTTAGTTCTAATTTATGTTTTTATCAATTTCAGATCAATAAGATTCAAACAGACTAATTTTGGTTCATTAAAACCTTTTTGGAGTCAAGCAAAGACAGTTGAAAAAAGTTTGGAAAATGGCAAGAAAAGGCCGCAACCATTATTCGTGTAGTATGATCATCCTTCAAAAGCTGTCAATTCTATATTTTTCGGGCCTTTAATGATGTTCCTAAAGATAAAAAACAAACCAATTAGCCCGGGGCCAAAATGGAGCTAGATGAGGCTAGAAGGAAATTTTCAACACTGAGGGATCGATCCCCTACTATTCACAGAACTAAAAATGCCCTTGGGGGATCGATCCCCCAGCACCTGGCAACCTTACAGGATTGATGTTTACTTGGCTACTGGATTTTCTTATTTTGGGCTTATTTTGTAACTTATTGGTCTCCAACAAAGCTTTTTTAAGGGAACCAATATCCATTAGTTTGGGGGAGTGATTATTATTATTTTATTATTAAGTTTTTATTTCCTGAATCGATATATCGTTATTCTCTCTGGAAAACACGAAAAAGAGAAAAAGTTAGGATTCTTGAGAAAAGTTCAGAGAAGAAGAAGAGGAGCCAGATGAATCAAAGGATGGGGCTTGTTGATATCTTGCATCCATCAACCATGAGCGGTTAATTCTTCAACTTAGGGTTGGATAAACCCTAAGTATGTAACCTAACTTTTCTCTCTTTTACTATTTTGGGGATTTAATTTATGTAATTTTTGTTATAGCATTGATATATATATAATAATTCTTTCAATTGATTATCTTTGTCGATCTCATATTGTCTTATATGTTTTTGAATGATAATTGATCTTTACCACTTGATTTCTTTGTGAATTGAATCATGTAATGGCTATGCATTGTATTAATTTGATGTAATTGTGTTCTAATTTGATGAAAATTACTTATATTAGATAGGTTGTACTACATAATTAGGTTAATGTCTAGTTTAAATAGGTTAATTTTAGGTTTGATTAGTTTAATTTAAGGTAAATTAGTTAATTGCAAATTAATTATTAGGTAAGTAGACAATCCATATAATTGTTTGAAATCCATACTTATTGTTACAATTACATATCCTCTAGATTAATGTGTGTTAAATTTGTAACTTGAATTGATGAATCATGCTTTGAATTGGTGAATTGCACTACACTTAGTTTAAGTGTCATTAGGTAGTTGATTCATGCTTGATATTGATGGTTTACACTTTTCATTGCAACTGTTAGCCACATATAGATTACATAGTATTATTTCCCCAATTAGTTAAAAGTTAGTGAGTTAGGGAATATGTCTAGTGGTGAATTATACACCCTAAGTCTCTTTCCAATCTCTTAAACTATATTTCTTTATTGCAATCATTTAGTTTAAAATTAGTTTTAATCACAAACAAAACCCTTTTTAGCAATCACATAAGCACTAAAGTAGAATTCAATTCCGAAAACCAATAATTGTTTAGATCTCTTAGGACGATCCCTACTCGCTTCATACTCCATAGTATAAGTGTTTAGTGATTTTATAAATTATAAAATATGATGCCCACTTGACATTATTTGTAAACCTAAAGTGATGTGCATTATTTTGTGCACACGCTCAGTCGTATCACTTGCATTGTTCTAATTGAATCATTAGTTTAATTAATCAATCAAACCATCTTTTGATCATTCGACTTACTAATCCATCATTAATTCCAAAGTACCATTCATTTCCCTTGGGATGATCCCTACTCACTCTAGCTACATTAATAGTTAGTAGTGGTAGTAGCATTCTATAAATTTAAACTTGGCCACATTTCATTTTACACACCACTTTTGTGCAACTAGGTCTTGACACCACCACTCGGGCTTTGGAGTCTTTCGTAATTGTGTAAAGTAGACTGATGTCCGTTTTGAGTCAGGCCTAAGGTCTAGTTGGTCTTCTGTTATGATGAGGTGAGAGATGGGTACCCACATTGGATTTTAGTGGCAGTAGTGTGTGATTGTCTGATGACATCAAGCAATAATGTCGATGAGTTCATGGTCTTGGGGTTTTGTGAGATGTTCTCGGAAAGTGTGTGGCTGTGGGCCTTCTTCATAAGGAGATTAGATTTCGAAGACGAAATCTCTTTAAGTAGGGTGGATTCTAATGTTTCCAATTTTTACCATTTTCTATTTTCTTGAAATTTCTGATTTTGCGAGGGCATTTTCGACTTTTCTCATTTTGCGTGCCGGACACCGTAGGATGTGCCGAGTGTGTCCGAGAGTTGGTTCGGACATTTTCTTGAGTCCAGGACTCTTGAAAATGCACCGATTTTTATTTCGGCATTTTTTCATTTTTAGGTCGGAAAGTCCCGTGTGGGACTCGCTACCAGAATTGTTGTGTAAGGGGGTTTTGTTCGGGTCCATTTGCATTTCATTTATTTTTATTTAATATGTTTTATGTGGTTATTGTATGGTTAGTGTGCATATGTATATGTGTGATAGAAATTTAAAGAAAAAGGTAGATTTTCTTAGTGGTGGGACCCACCACCACTAACTTTGATTTTTGGTGGCCAAGAGGCCACTTCGGCCTCACATTTTCTCTCTCTAATTCTCTCTTCACGACAGCTCTCTCTTCTCCTCTCTATTTTCTTTTTTCTTTTCTTTTTCTCAAGCTTTCAAGCTTTGATTTCTCTCCAACCTTTTGGAGTTTTTGGGTGCCGTTTGCGGCAAATCGGAGAGTTCAGCGAGATCTTCACATTGATGTAAGCAATTCATCATTTGGCAAACTCTAGGAATTTCAAAATTTGAGTAATTTTTGGGGCTTTTGCTTTAAAACAAGGTAAAGTTTATTAACTTGCATAATCCTTAAATTTTGTAGTTGAATCCATATTTTTTCCCAATTTTTACTTGCCAATTTGATGTCAATTTGGTACTAGCATGCTAAAGTTTTATTAAATTGATGATATATGTCAATTTGTTTGTTGTTATGTGTTAAATGATGATTATGTGATGAGAAATTTCAATTGTTGAATGGACTATGTGACTAATTGTGAGCAAGCATGCTACTTGATATTAAATTGACATTTTTAATATTCTTGAAATGCCAAGTATGCTATGTGTTTGTAAAATTGCCAATGTGAATGTTTAATTGTAAGATTCATACTATTGTGGTTTTAGTGATCATATGTTGACTTGTAGAATAATTGTATCATTGTCAATGCCATGTATGTTCATAATTTGATGACTGTGTAACAATTCATGTGGAGGTAAAATTATGGCTACAAGTGGGCAATGATGACTATTAAAGTTTGTGGACCATTGTAAGCATGGCATTAACATTGTTGTATTGGCATTGAGTATTGGGTGTGTTGTGAGGGAAATTTTGGTGATGTAAATTAGAAAAGTTTTGAAGAAGTTTTGAGAAAAGGCTTTTTAAAAAAAAAAAACCCGGTAGTTGGAGGGGTACTCCTTTGCCGGCGGTATTAATATGGAAGGTTTTACTTAAACCCAGTAGTTGAAAGGGTACTCCTTTGCCGGCGGTGCTAACTAGTTAATAAGGACACGAAAAACACCCGTGAGTGATTTAGCTACCTCGGGCCCCAAATGGTAGTTGGGAGTCACCTTTTGCCAGGGACGATTAGCAAATTCTCCCTAGGGACGGCGGGGGTTACCTAAATCCGAATAGTTAGTACGTTTTCAGTATGCGGATTGGGTGAGTGAGAGTGTGTGGGTGGAATGCATTGAATAAGCCATTTCATGCATTGCATTATTTCAAATGGTTGATAGTGGATTGCTTGTTAATTATTGATGATATGTAACCCCGATATGATCCCTATTCTTCTCCTCTATCATTAACGTGTCTAAACATGTGTTTCGCTACTTAATTTTAGGAAATGCCATTTAGTCAATCTCTACTTGCCTTGTGCTCATTCCTCTGCATTTTTCAGGTCACGGAAAAGAAGTGACGGTCGACAATCCACCACAGCTCTTGACGGATTGGGACTTTTGTTTTGTATGGGCCACAATCGGCTAACCGAAATGGCCATACCGAACCCACGGGTTCGAGTCGTTACACATCTAGAGAAAAAAAAAAATTTCTCTCTAGTTACTCTCTCACTAGATAATATCTAGTGAGTATCTAACGGTAGTGATTAATGCAACCTCTCCAACATAATTTTGTCATCACAAAGTCAGCAAGTCAAGAAAAAAATTTACTTTTGTTTTACCATATTTAAAAATTCCACTCTATACATATACTTTATACAATATATTATACAGAGTATATTATTATACAATTCCACTTTACCTTTTGACTGAAATTAAAATAAAATTAAAACACAAAATAACCCCACTTTAAAACAATTCAACAAAATTAAAATATGTATACATAGCATGCTTCTCAAACAAAATTTTAAGGAAGAACAAATCATATAATTATAGATTTTTAGGGTTAGTATACCCTACCTAAAATATAGATTCAAATCACCTGATTCTGAAAACTTCTTTAAATCAAAAATTTCGAACTGTAGTTGCGTAGGATTCGTCGAATGGAACAACTTTCATTCTTGCACCACAAACTAAATCTTACCCCCTTAACCTTAAATTCTAAAGAGAATGATTGAAAAAAAAAAAAAAAAAAAAAAAAAAGTGGCTAAGTTTCTATTTTATTTTACTGTAGTTTTTTCCCGCTATTACGATTCTATATTCTTCCCCTTTCCTATTTCTTTTTCTTTTTTCCTTTTCCACCTTTATCCTTTTATATACATAGATATGTGTCATAAAAATCAAGGCAATCACATTACTAAAGTTGGCCTAAAACACACTCCAAGACAAGCAAAATTAGCAAATATATAATATATCTATATATTTCTCTATATATATAATATATCTATATATTTGTCAATATGTATCTGGATCATTTTCCTTTAGTTATTCTTCTGTTCTATTTCATTTTCCCAAGTTCTTACTCCTTTTTAGGGTTTTGGTTTTTTTTTTTTTGGGATACTCAAATTTCAACCAGCTGGGTCTTATGAAGTGAAAGTCAATTAATTAAATAATAGATATATTGTATACAGAAGTTATATAAATTTAACTCAAATGATAAGTCACCTTTTTTATCTCTCATTAGACCAATCAAGTGAGAGTAATTGGAGAGAAAAAATTGTCCCCATCTAAAAAGTTGCAGCTACTTCAACCTAAAAAATTCCAAATGAAGAAAACAATGAAAAATGCAAATCTCTTCGGAGAAAGCTTTAAAGGTTGATTAAGTCTTTGGAATGAAATCCATTATCTTATTTTAAAAGAAGTTGAATAGTCCATACAAACGAGGATGTAGAATTAATTTCAATAGTCCAATATGTAGGCATATGTTTTGAAAATGTTTTAAAGTAATTTGGTTTTTCAAAACTAAGCCAAAAATGTATTTTTTATGAGAATTAGACTCAAACCTATTGACAAAACTCCAGAAAGTTTCTGTCGATATGTCGATACATCGACGCTTGTCTAGTTAAATTTTGATAACATCAAGCCTTTCTCAAAGATAACAAAAACCTGAAGGTCTCTGATCCGGGATCTTGGCTTGCCGGTGTAGCTAAAAAATGGTAGAATTGAGTCTTCGGCGTACGTTACGTCAACATCAGGCGGACTGCCATTTAGAATTTCTTTGTGATAACTGAGTTTGGGTTATTTTCTCTTTTCTCGTGTTAAGTTTAACCCAAGAAGCGCATCTTCTTCTTCCGTTTTTGGAGGGCAAAATTCCACTTTGGGTTATTTTATCTCTTTGATCTTGTGCTCAGCTGAGAGAAACAAAATGTCAAGAAATGTGATTTTCTTTCTTCTCTCGATTAGATTATTCTCTTTATTACATAATTTTTCTATGTGAATCAAGCATGCACATGGGGATGTGATTTAATGAAAAATAAAAATAAAAAAAATAAAAAAGTAAGTAATGTCCTAGGCCATTTGAAACGAAGCAACGAAGCAAAAGAACAATATAATACTAACGGGCTACTGTATCAGGCCTCACTTCCCATAAAGAGATTAAGGCTCAGTTTGGTAGAGTGGGTTTGAAGGGAAAGGGAAGGGAAGGTGATGGAGGGTTATACAAAAATTGTGTTTGGGTAAAATTGGTGGAAGGGAAGGAAAGGAGAGGGAAGGGTTTGGAGGGTTAAGGCAAGGCTTGAACAGTAGATTTGTTAACCTCTCAAAAATGGGCGGAAACGGAAGGAAAAGGAAGGCAATGGCACATGTGATAATCGTGATGCCAATTTTACCCACACAAAATCAAGGATTTAGTTAAGCAAAACAAGAATTACAGACCTTAATTGGTTGATTTAGCAAAACAAAACCCGTACATATAAGTTAGCCATTGCACAGAGAAAGAGAGGGGGGAAGCTTACAGCGGCTGAAACTTGCGTACAGCGAACCCGAACTGGAACAACCGGCGATGGAAACGGCGAACCCAAACTAGAACAGCGGGCAAGGGAAACTGAAAGATATGGGTTTTGATTTTTGGAACAATCTGAAACAATATGCCGATATGGGTTTTGAACCTTTGATTCTTGCAAATGATAGATAAACATATGGGTTTGGAACTTGGATTGTTGTAGTTTTGTGGTTTGCAGTTGCAAAAGAGAGAGAGTGTTGCAGAGAGAGAACGAGAATAGAGATGGAGGCGGGGACCCTAAAATGATGACCCTAAAAATATTATATTTATATTAATTTTTTTCTTTTCTTTTTCTTTTTCTTTTTTTTTTTTTTTTTTTTTTTTTTTTTTTACAAATATTACATACTTAAGTTATTAATTTTTATTTTAAATTATAAAAGGGTATAATAGTAAACTTACCGAAATACTTTCCTTTCCTTTCTTTCCCCAAACATAATTATTATCCTTCCCTTCCTTTTCCTTCCTTAATCAACCAAACACAATACTAAATTAAAATTATCCTTCCCTTCCCTTTCCTTCCATTTCCCTCATAACTAATCTTATCCTTCCCTTTCAAACCCACCCTACCAAACATACCCTAAGGGATTAAGCCTAAGTAAAGACGTGTTTATGAATACTAATTATAAAAATAGAAAACAAATAAAAAAAATAAAAAAAAGATATAACAGTTTTATTTGAATAGATGATGACATTTTTGTACTTGCACATCACATCATAGGGTTGAAGCAGTCCTTTCATTTCGACTAATGGTAATATTGGAATTCTAATAATATTAAGGACATGACATCAACAATTTTCGTCATTGACTAACCAATACCGTCAAAATTACTTTTTAAGAAAAATCAGAATAATTTTGAAAACCATAATAAAGATCCGTGTAATTTATATAAAACCGAGAGAGAGAGAGAGGTCAGTAGTTTACCCAACTTTTAAATTTCTACCTCATCTAAGAGACTAGACAACATTTATGCCAACTAAGCTTAAAACATATATATATATTTTCTTTATACGTATTCTTCATATGTCAATTTTATTTTTTCAAACTTTATTTAATTCCTTCAAAACTTTTTGACAACTCCTAATGGACCTAATCAATGTGTCACAATCCAAGAAATCCAAATTGAACAGCTCATGAACACACCCAAATCGAGTTTGACCTACAGTTGCGTTGTGTGGCTCATCCTGAACACGAGTTAAAGTTCCAATTCCTGTTTCTTGGTCGACCATGCTCTGAGTTTATAAAGCTCAAATTATTGGGTTCATTTGCAGCCAAGGCATTGAGAATGTCAAATTTATCTTTCCCATGGTCCCCTCTGGAAAGAGAGAAAATAGAAATCAAACAAACAAACAAACAAACATTCCCCAACAGCTTCCTAGCTTGTACCTGAAGAGCAATTAATTGCTCTACCAAACAACAAAAACCAACCCTTTCCTTTCCCTTGCCATTGAAGACTATGAAAAGAAAGCAACAACTTACTAGGAATAGATATGGAAGAAGACTTCATGTTGTTCCTTTGAGTCCCATATGGTCATCTGTTACCAACTGGGCCATAGATAATAAAATTGTTAGGTTCAACACCATATGATGATCCATTAAAGTAAAAATTCCACATAAATCACCAACCAATCAACATAAAAATAATAAAATAAAATAAATGAGAGAGAGAGAAAGAGGCCTCCAAGTAGTTGGAAGATGGTACAGGAGTTAAGCAACTTCAAATGTTCTTACAGCATGCACATGAATAAAGTGACCATACCACCAGCCATTACCCAAAAATAAAAAAATAAAATAAATGAAAAATAAAAGTGTAATGCTTGTTTTTAATATATAAAGAACATTGAGGTAAAGAGAATTGGTGTGAAAATACTAGCTAGAAGGCCAAACCAAAATGCACCAGACTCTAAAGAATTCCCCTACCAAAACAAGATTCCAAACCATTTCTCTTCATCCACAAGCCTCTACCCCCCTCCCTCTGACCGCATCACACATGAAGTATAAATCCAACATCATTGCCACAACAATGCCCGAGAAAATGGCTGCAAAAAATCCGGTAGAAATAGGCACCCGAGGCACTGTTGGATCCCTTATAATGCAAGAGATTGATTACTTTAGCCGACTTGACTTAGGCTGCCGGGATACCTCTAAGAATCCTCGGAGTCAATTCACAGAGATGGCTTCTGCTAGAAATTATTCCACACCAACACTAGGATCCTTGATCACGACAACAAGAAAGAAAAAGAGAGGAGGCAGCAGGCTCATACCAAGCATGTGTTCTGTGGTGGAAATTGCACGGAGCAATCATGCGAATGGATTCCATTACAGGAATCTGAAAACAGACGTGAAGGAGTTGCGCACTTAGATAATGCTCTCGGAGAGCTTTGAGAAACCAAGCTTCTTGAGTCTATCAGTTATAGGGCTGGCCCATGTCCTATCTTGGTTCCCACACTTTATGTTCACAATTTCAACTATGTTAGATCCTTTTTTCTCATGCTTTTGTCTAATAGGAGTCCCATCTAAATGAACATTATCAGCATCCAGCATTGGAATTTGATGCTTCTTTCGATTGCAGTGTTTTGTTTTCCGAGCAATTTCAATGCGTCTATGACTAATGCCGTGGCTACTACTGCTGGTGCTCGCTTCATCAGCTGATGTTCTTGACCTCAGTCTTTTGGGAGTAGTAGCACTACTTGAAACCAAAACTGAACCTATAGGAGATTGATTTCTAGACAATATTGGTTTTTGAGGTGCAGAATTCATGTAATCTAGTTCCCTAGATATAGGGCACTAATTTTCCCAGTGGTACCTACTTTGATAGATCCTCCACCACTCTTGATAGATTCCGATGTCTGAACCATGTTCTTCACCAATCTCAAATAAAGGTCCGAGCAGATTTCTTCTAAAATGAAGATGTCCTTGTAACTCCAAAAGCTGGTTGGGCCAATGTCGAATCAAAGAAGTTTAAAAACCTATCAGGCAGTTGCAGCATGCATGTGAATCATAAGATACTTATCAGATGAGTTAATATTGTGTTGGAATTTAATTAATTTCTTTAGATTTGAAGAAAATAGTTTTTCTGTTGAAATTCCCTTATGATGACAAGAAATATATAGCTATTAAGCTTACTTAATAATAACGGAATAATGGGAGGTTCTCCGTTCAATTGTCAATAGCAGCAACATTTTAAGCCCTTAAGAGACGCATAAATACTTCAACTGGCAAATTCTTGTTAAACCCGCAGCAGAATTCCCAGTATTACATGAGATAATATGACCAATGGTGGAAATTAGCAATGACTGATCAATGAGGAACTCAACTCATAAAGATTTTTTTTTTTTTTTGGGGGGGGGGGGTACCAGAAAAAGGAATTACTATTAAAACGGACACATAAGTCTAAGGATGGAAAACTTTTGATGACTTATCTTTGAAGTGTTCATGTATCCAAGGAGGAAACAACAAACTAGTTGAAGGAATTCTTTTCTTTTATAAACCATAACCATTAATGGGATTGGGTTACATATGCAAAAAACACAAATCAGAAAATTTCAGAAATGCTTACATTCAAATCCATAACATATTTACCCACAAAAAAGAAGGTTCAATAACCTCAAGACTCGTAATTCCAAATTTCTAGTCATTTACTAGTCAAAGCCACTGAAAATTAACATTTATAAGCCAGAAAATAGTGAATTGGTTGGTGAAAAATTGGAAATAAGTCCACCAACTAGAGCCAGGATGGATTAGGAGACACTGAGCTGGCAGGAGTTCTTGATTCAATACCAATAAGGAGCAGTGACTGAATTCAGACCAACAATAGTCATTAAAACACAAGAACCAACCCAAATGTAATGAGATGCACATTGTAATCAAACTTTTTCGTAAGAATTATAATCGAAATTTTTGTTCACTGAATGATCCCACAAATGTACATCAACTCTTACTTTCCATCCCAAAGGAAGAAAGTTCAAAACTTCCAATAAAAAAATTAAAAAATAGGAAAAAAACAATCATATTGTCTTTAATACTAGAAAATGAGCGCCACATTCATGCAGATTTTCAGCTCCAAAATCAACAGAATTATGATTTTAATCTTGACATTAACTATTATTTGTGCAACTTTCAAGCCACTGTCAATGGTTACAGATCAGCATCATCCAAACCCTAACTTCATTTAGTTACAAAAGCTTAAAGCATATCAATTGTCTAATCAATTACCTAAACCATATATAAAAGAATCCAGAAATCAGTAACTGCATATAATCAGAACAGCAAGATCTAATCTACCAAGAATTAATGATGACTACATGTGATGAAACCATAAATTAAAAGATCGTGAGATTGAGAATAAAAGCATACCTAAAACTTGTTTGAATATGAGAACATTAAATCTCTTCTCCCTTCCAACAGAAAAGTATGATGGTGAAATGAAACAAAACCCACCAAAAATAAATATTCTCTGCAACTTTCTTTATATGTATAAAATGTTTAAAAGTCTGGTACCATATCATTACTGAACATCAAATTAATTGGATCTGTGAATCGAACTTTACCCTCAGTATTTTATTAGTAGTGTGTTAAAATCCTTGAACTAGTCAACGGGTGCAAGGGCAGGATCTGACATAATCAAAAATATTGTCTTTTATTGCATGCTGGGTGAGGGTCCTACATTTTTTGCATTTTTAATAGATTAATAAGATTTTTTTTCTTTTCTTTTCTTTTTTTTTTTTTTTGGGGGAAACAAACTCACACACTCACTTTATCGTAAATTTAAACATTCACTATTCATTTTGAAAGTAGAAGAGATAATAAAATACCACAAATTTCTTATATGGAAAAATTAGATTTCGATATATCAAAATTGAAAAAGAAAAAAGAAAAAAATTAGTTTTTAGTGACTTTTGAATTAATAAAAAAAAACAAAAAAATGATAAATAGACATTAAGATACGCAATGTAACTCTTTTTACTTACTCCCTCCTACCCGCAAAAAGTGTCCAATTTTTTTTTTTTTTTTTTTTTTTTTTTTTGGTCCCAATATAATTGCTTCAATTTAAAATTTAATATACTACTTTTTAATATTTTTAGTGTCTGTAAATACAGTATTGTCTGGATGGTTGGTTTATTTCCCGTGTCTGAGAACCCGTGGTTGAACCTCGCACCATCTTCCCCCTCTAATTACTAACCCCTGCTATGTTGTGTGAATTGTTGGTTTAGTCGAACCCGTGTTTGAACCTAGCTTGCACCATCTCCCTCCCCTCTAATTACTAACCCCTTTCATTCTTGTCATGAAAAAAACAAAAACAACAACTAAATTACCTTCGATTCATCACTAATCTATTTTTTCCTTCTTTTTTTGGGTCCTACATTATGTTGGTTTTGTACGCCCTAGCATAAAAAATATAATGGATCGTATAGAACATTTTATGTCCCATTTATAAATATGTGGTTTATGAGATATTGATATGCTTTACACACACACACACGCACGATGAATAATGTGTATTGGTCAATTCAGTATTTGAATTGAGGTGTCCACTTAACCATGCAAATAATTTATATGTATATGAGGGCGCTCATATTCGGGATATATAAATTGAAAAAATTATGTTATCATAAATGGTTCGAAATCAATAATAAATGATGGACTCTTTATTAATTAAGAGACGAACCAGATCTAAGATAAGGTAAGAAAATTGTGAGAACCGTCATAACAATTTGCTCCTTATCACCATCATGATGAAATGACTCTCAAAAATGAGAAATGTATAGACTCTTGATTGATAGTTACTTTGATTTATTTAGTGAGGCATGCAAGGTCTGAAGACAGGTACTTTGGGTAACTATTAATTAGTAGCTTGGGAATAGTGTCAGGATTTGCATCGATGCTATCACATTTATTTTGACTTGATTAATTTGATCATGATAAATTCGAAGTCCTCCATGGTTTTTATAAAATGATTTTTATATTTATTTATTTATTATATTATTTTATCAAATAAACTCTTTACGTGGTCAAATGGGATATAATCAAGGTGTTTAAAAAAATGGATAAATTAAGTGGTCGGATTAATGACTATTGGTATCCAATAATTAAATTAAGCATATAGGGGTCATTACGCAAATTAACTTATGGAAATTAATATTCTAAATGGAGAGTAATTAATTGTATATAGTGGTAGGGGAAGGTGATCCCTGGGATCCCTCGTCCGTATCCTCCGTGGCTCTCTGCTCGGCTTTCTCCCTTTTCTACTCTCTATTTTTCTTATTCTTTGTGCATACATTAAATGTCTTGGTCCACTTCGCAATGTCATACGCCCTCCTCGCTCTCTGCGCGAGAGCCTCTGGAATCTCAGCTGGGTCAAAGGAATAGCTCTCGTCAATCAATAGCTGTGTAATCAAATGGCCGAATGGTAATGGCCAAGCATTAGCTCTAGAATTGTGCTAAAAGATCAAATTTTCTCAGAACTTGTGGATAATCTCCTAGATGAGAGCAGGAATGGATATCCAGCAACCCTAACTCAAACAGTATAAAGCCTGTAGAATCCTATCCCTCCTCTATGTACCCTGGCCTGAAGGAAAGGCATTAAGATGTAGCACAGAATTTAAAAACCAGTATCGGGGATCAATATCAACCCGGTCTGTAAACGTATTGCCATTAAAGGCAGCCTGTGGAGATAGTGTCGCAACCATGGTCATCTCAGAGGGATAAGCAGGAATGATGGGGTACAGTGGATCCTCAAAGTCAGCGACTAATGGAGAGAGGTAGGGGTATCGGCAGGAAGCAGTGTGATACCCCCGGATTTCCGGATGCGGGTTGGCCAGGCCCACGCCTGATTACCCAAGGATATCGAAACAATTAGCAATAAATGAACACAGAATACAATTAAGATAAATATGAATAAATAAAATTGCTGAAAGAAAACTAAAATGAAAATCCAGAAACTGAAACCTCAGAATAAAATTTATAAATAAGGAACTATTCTAATACATTCAATTTCTCCATTTCTAATACAACTCGGGAATCCAGCTAGTGGACCCCTAATAAAACTCCAACACTAAACAACAACAACTGAAAGAAATCCAATGCTAAACCATGAAGAAAACTCCTATGTCATCGAAAGAATGAGTGACCGTCTCTGCTCAGCACGAACAAGCTCTCAGACCTGAAACCGCCCGTTACCTAAAAAATAATAGTGGGTCAGGCCCACGAATAAGTTCTATCCTAATTACAATCCAAACAGAGACCCGATACGCAGATACATCATAGATATCTCAACCATATCTATATAGTCCGTAAATATATATATATATATCCACACTACAGGACTCTCACTGGACTATGATGCGGGTCTCAACCTGAATAGAAGTCAACATGCAAAAATGCACCCAAAGGTGGGCATGAGTACCTAGACCTAACAGGGTATACCTCAACCATCATAACCAGCTATGCATCCTATTGCATATACGCACCCTAACCAACGATCCTGAGACTCAAGTTCATATCGCGGTACCAAAATCATATGTATATAGTCCGTCTAAATCCAAAGTATGTCATTTTATTGTTATTGATTTGACATAAGAATTGCAATCCAGTTAGTCACTTCACTTACGCAGGCGATCTGACTTAACTGTAAACACAATTAATCCAGGTAGTCATTCAACTTACTCAGTCGATCTGACTTAAATAAAGTTAGGATTTAAATGTTTTAATTAAATCCCTATCCTTCCTAATATAGAAATATAAACAACCATCCAATATGTCGTTCAACTGTTTTAGTTGACAGGACATGAAACCATGTAGGAATTAACTATTTTAGTTAATCCATTCTGTATATATGAATAGGTAGGAATTAGAGTTTTGATCTAGGCTGTCCCTCCATATGCCACAGTCCCATACCGGTGTATATAATGCAAATGATCTGTAAATGATACAACATTTAAAGCAGTACATCAAATAAAGTCCACATAATCCATATAGTTGAAAAATAGATAATTTAAACAATTCATCAACTAACAATCCATAATAAAATCTGTGTAATTGACGAGACAAAGTTTAATAGTTCATCAATTTAAAATCCAAAATCCATCCTTGTAATTGACGAGACAAGATTTAGTAATTCATCAATTCAATATCTAGTATACATCCATGTAATTGATAGAATATAATTTACCAATTCTTCAATTAAAACCAGACCAACATCCATGTAATTGATAGAAAATAATTAATTAATTCTTCAATTAAAACCAGACCAACATTCCATGTAATTGACAGAAAGTATGTAATTAATTCTTCAATTAAATTCAGGAGAAACATAACAAAATCTAATGTGTATATGACCCTATTATGCATCCCAAAACAACTTTAAAAATCCTACTCCAGTTATCTAAGTTGCTAAAATAAATGTAAGCAACTAAATCCTTTACAACCGTCAACCGTGTGCGACTTTGCTTAAAACTTCCACACGGTGAATACCCTTAACATATAGAGATAAACTATGCACTGTGGGTTTAATTATAGCATAATATCACATTTAGGATCCATGCTACAATCCGTTAAAATTTTTAAAACCAGATTACACAATTTAGTCCTTCCTATCCGTTAAAGTGTGCAAGGTTGCTTATTTTTATATTGTTTATTCCATTTTCTCTACGGATTAAATTATGCAATTAGGGAGTTTAAAATCCTTTGAAATTACTTTAAAAATTCTTATTCCAGTCCTTGAAACAATTTAGAATCCCAAACATGCCCAAAACAGTTTCCAAACAGTTCCAGAACGCACCCAAACAAGGCCCAACCAAGGGTGCCTGCTCTCTAATCAACAGAGCAGGCTCTTTGCACCTTAGAGCTGGCTCCCTAGCCCTTGGAGCTGGCTCTATGAAGGGGGGAGCCAGCTCCCAACCTTCTGGAGCCGGCTCTCTCCTCCTTTGAGAGCATTGAACCCCTTTCCACTTCGTTTCTGATCATCTGCTCCGTCTCTAGCCTGTTCCTACCCTTGTGTTCTTCCTTAAAATTGGTCTTACCAGTCTAGTAGACATCCAGTATCAACCCCCAGTCCTTAGTTTACCACAGTAAGAACTAATACAGTGATTTAAAATAACACTAATTTATATGCTTTAAAACAGACGATAAAGAACAAAGTTGCAAGAATTAATTCAAACAATAAAAAAACACATACAGATGATCAAGTTGGCATATATTACGCATGTAAGATTCAATTAATATTCATTTACAATCCTAGAGATCCTCTAGGTATGCACAGAACACAGGCCAAAGGGAGAGAGACAGAAGATAACTTGCCTTTTAAGGTTTCAATGTGAAACCTTTAACCGTCTTCTTCCTAGATTTTTCCGGCGACCTTAGTTGCCATTGAACCTCCTCTGCCGCTCTTGGTTTAACCCATGAGCCAACCCCTGTTCCTCCTTCTCCTTGGTTCAGACCTCTAGCCTGAACCTAGCTTTCCTTCCTCTCAGTTTCCCTTTGTTTCTTTCTCTGTTCCTTTATATCACACTGTATGTGCATAGGGTTTTTCCAACCCTTTTGAAGACGTAAAACAGTGTATTTATAGGCACTAATAAAACCCTAGGTCCAATTCTAATCAGAGATGGAAAACCTAATTAACTCCTAGTCCAGTCGGCGTGAGACATAAAAGACTAAAACCCTATTTTAACACAATAATTAAAAACACTAATAATTAAATCTAATTTAATTCAATTAAAGAAAATAAAAATACAATTAAATATCCAATTAAACAAACAATTCAATTTAATAACAATTAGTCAATTAATGCAAATAAACATGCAAACAAAATAATCAATTAAACAACCAATACACATAAATAAAACAATTAATCAATTCAACATAAACACATATCCATATAAGCACATCAAATATAATAACTAAATTCCAATTAAGTCTTTTTTAAAATTAGGGGTATTACATTCTTCCCCCCTAACAGAAGGAATTCCATCCTCGGAATTCACGAAACTTTGAATTATTTGTTTTTAAAATTCATTTCCGTTCTCGTGTGGACTCAGCCTCTGTGTATAGGCGCCACCAAATTCCAATGCATCCAACCATAAACAAGGTTCCAAAATTTAGCAATTCTACCTTGTCAGTACAAATATATTTATTCATATCTTGG